CCTTCCCTCCGTTCGTCGTCCGTTCGGTCGTACGTACGTCTACGATATATATCATATATATATATATATATATATATATATATATATATATATATATATATGTATAGTTTGAGGATATATGCAATGGTGTGTGCTGTCTGTGTATGGGTTTGCAATAGGCGGGCAGACACTGAGGATCGGCCATGTTGCTCGGGCATGTTTCTAGATACTACAAGTTAAATAAGAGATCAAACTACAGCTAAAACCATGCGGTACTTCTACGGTATCGTAGCTGCGCCAAATTAGTTCGATTAACGAACGAAAACTAACGAGCAACTAAGTTTTTTTCGTTCGAAAAATAAATTAATATCAGATATCATGCAACCGACTAGGTAAGTGAGTGAGTGCGTATCTACAGGCTACGATAACGCCAGCGCACGCGAGGATCGAAGAAATCGGAGAAAAACTCTACCTCTCCTCGTTGGCACCTCCTCCTCTGGTGTCCCAGCCTCTTTCTTCTGCTTCGCGGCTGGCGGACAGAACAAACGGGTGAGCTAACGAGCTATCATGCACATGCTTAACGATACAGTGCAAAACATGCGACACGTGCGCGATACACACGACACACATAGCTGCCACAGCTCCTAGCATCCTTCTCATCAGCTGTAGTTAGCACCCTCTCTCAGCATCCTAGCTGCAGTTTCCCAGTATCACTCACTACAGAGAAGCATCCCCGGGCTCAAATCTCCCAAATAAATTTGCTCACACGAGCTGAAATTAGAGTAGAATGCTACGGAAAAAGAGTGACCACCGAGTAATTCCCCTTACCAACATGAACTCCGAAATTAGGTGACCAAAGAGCATTTCCTGCCTGTCATGTTGAGAGGGAACTGAAACAGCTTTCTCAGATTGGCTTGAGCTATGGCAACTATGGATGTAACACATTGCAATTCTCGATGTTTATGTGCAATGGCAATGGACATGTATAGGCACATTGAGAAGAAGGGATTTACCCTTCCCCAACTAGCGCCTAAACATGCCCACTGCAATCTATCGAGGTAGGAACCAACATCAGTGTTTCCATGTCCTTTTCAAAAAGTGACATCAGATAAACATGATAAATTTACTACGTTATACGATAAACCGCTATGAATCGTCATGCATTAAATGCAAACTAGGCGAAATCTCACGGTGCTATGTACACGTGATCATGCAAGTGCAGCGAGTAATAAAACAAGTGATTAAACATTCACATAACATGTATAATTACTTCTCGAACTTGTGCCGTGGCCTAAACCCACATATCCCTCTCAAATCTAGATTTCACACATTTAAACGTTTCAATTAAGGCATAAGATTTTGTTGTGTGATCAACCGCATAACACAGCTTCACATTAAATTTCATGTGAAGGCACACGCAATTCACAGCTAACGTCAATACCGGCATAGGGAAAACAATTCTCAATTCTGCACCACTAACTAAAAACTCATTTGACGATATATAGTTATCCCTTTCAGATAACCTATACCTTATTCTTTCGATCTGCTTAAGCCAAGGCACAAGACGAGTCACTCCTGCATGCATGCATACACATCTGACACCTGTTCTATCGCTGTAACCTATCGCAGCAGCCATGCCACAGACGTCAGCCACAACTACTAGCTAACACACGCAAACAAACAATACACTACAGCCCGCCGCACACGCTGTGTTGTGCTGCGCCATCGGCCACGCGTGGCTGACGGCGCAGCACAAAACACAGCGTGTGCGCATGCAAACGCATCGATTTCTTGCGTGTGGAAAATATCACACGTGTTTGATATTTTCTTCCACGTGTGGCAGATTGCACAGCGTCTGCGGAGTGGCTGTGTAAAGTTCCACACCGGCTCTATGTAACCGACCAATAGCAGCAGGTCAAGCAAGTCACGTGATCTGCGGTTGCGGCGCGGTTGCACTGCGGTACACGCACGTACACGCAGATACACGCACGTACACGCGGGTACACGCACGTACACGCAGGTACACGCACGTGCACGCACGTGCACGCGGGTACACGCACGTACACGCAGGTACACGCAGGTACACGCACGTACACGCACGTACACGCCGTACACGCACGTACACGCGGGTACACGCACGTACACGCAGGTACACGCACGTGCACGCACGTGCACGCGGGTACACGCACGTACACGCAGGTACACGCACGTACACACAGATACACGCACGTACACGCGGGTACACGCACGTACACGCGGGTACACGCGGATACACGCACGTACACGCGGATACACGCACGTACACACAGATACACGCACGTACACGCGGGTACACGCACGTGCACGCGGGTACACGCACGTACACACAGATACACGCACGTACACGCGGGTACACGCACGTACACGCGGGTACACGCGGATACACGCACGTACACGCACGTGCACGCGGGTACACGCACGTACACGCGGATACACAGAGAGTGTACGTGCGTGTACCCGCGTGTACGTGCGTGTACCCGCGTGTACGTGCGTGTACCGCGTGTACGTGCGTGTAGGCGAATACACGCACATACACGCAGATACACGCACGTATCAAACACGTGTGATATTTTCCACACGCAAGAAATTGATGCGTTTGCATGCGCACACGCTGTGTTTTGTGCTGCGCCATCGGCCACGTGGCCGATGGCGCAGAACAAAACACAGCGTGTGCAGCGGGCTTAACGGAAAGGAACGACGACATTCGACGAAAAACGCCACCCACCTTGACCAGTGATGACCGATGTCAGAGGGTAACCCTGACAGGACACCAGTGGCGACACCTGCTGCTGGAAAACATCGACAGCACCACACACACATACGTGCGCGACCGACGTGGAAACATACACACACACACACACACACACACACACACACACACACACACGCCACCGT